TAATCTTATCCTACACAGTTAATCTTTCCCGTATACTTTCTTCCTAAAAAACCGTCATCTCTGCAATATGTGTTCCCTAACTTCCATTTCCATTTCATAGACGCTACATTTTCCCCTCACTATTTATCCAACTCACACTTGTTTCATTTCCTAACCTATTTCTTGCTGTCTTTCTGTCCCATTTCTTTCACATCCCTTTTTAATAATTAGGATTACCATTAACGTGAATAAATTTATATTTTTTTATGACTTTCACATCTCTTCTGATCTTCATTCCTTTGAATAAATTCCTTATTTAAATAAAACCATCCTCTTCACTACATCCTAATGAATAACCATTATGGTTCCAAAAATGTTTCTTTGCAGATTCTCAGTCTCTTTGTTATTCCGTAGTTACCATAAAACGTGCCTTCATAACTCATTTCCCCGTCCTCTACTAATCCTTTCCTCATACTTACATCCTATTTGACCATCTCCATTCCCATTGTTTGGGCTCCTTGTTTTACACTGTAACCGAGTGTGCAACAACCTACTCCTAAGTTCTATCCTAAGAATATTTCCTGGATTGCTTCCAGTGTTCTCCTCTCCTTCGATCTCCATGATACTTTTCTGACTTCGAAATAGAATAAACAATGTATCAGATGTCCTTATTATCTTTGCCCCAAAATACCTGCATCTTCTCTTAATGATGCCTCACAGTTGTTTCATAGCCACCATCTTCTTACCAATTTCTTCAATGTCCTTTTCCTTTCAATGTCCTTTCCCTTCAATGTACTTTCACAATTTCTTCAATGTCCAGTAGCCTACTTCCTTGTTAAGCTAAAACCCTGAATACTCACTCATCATCTCTAAAATACTTCCCTTTCATTTAATTTTCTTACATTTTCCCTTCCTTCTGCCCTTTTTAAGGTCTTTAAGTTTCGTTTTCGAATTCTTCTTTCTCTAAAATTTCTCTGAATTTCATTCAAATTCTGTAAAAAAATGGTCTAACCTTTCAACATGTTATTCAAATTCTTAACGTTGTCCGCCAATTATACATCATACGATGATGACCAATTTTTTATTTTAGACAGAGCCATGCTAACGCATGGTCCTAATAATCCCAGGTCCATAATGTTAAAGTGATGCTTGATTAAACTACACACAAAAAAATTAAAAACAAAGTGACGTATACTTACTTAATCATATATAATTTTTTTTGTGTAATTTTAAATTGAAACGCTAGGGAATACTTTCAAAGTATATATCAAAAAATAAAAATAAAATGTAAATTAACAGGATTTTTTTTCGAAATTGGAGGGGGGGATATAAGAATAGGGGGCTCCCAAATTAACCTAGACCCAAAGGCCCCCAATGCTGTTAAAACGACCCTACACATAGGCTTCTGTTTCTTACTTTCATCCCCCATCCTAAAATGTAGTTCAATGTGTAAATGTTATCTACAATTCCCATACTACTGATGAATCCTATTTTATTGAATGGTATTAATCCCTTACCCCTTACCTCTCTCTTCATTCTAGATCTGAAATTCCTCATTCATATTTTGTACAAGGATGTCATGACCTCATTTGACATTGGCATTTCTGCCATTGTCATTTAATGACATTGTAATTTTCCATTTTGTTTCTGATCCCTCTCTTGTAAAATGGTGTTATTACATCTTTTCCTTCCTCTGGAACTACAAAATGCTCAATTATCTTATTAACGCTATCAATACGTCTTATCCCTTTTTCTTTAGAATAGATATAGAACTCATTCGAAATCATGTCACAGCCACCTACTTTATTTTTCTTTAACCCTTTGACAGCATGTTTTATTCTTTTATATCCCTTGAGCTCCCTTTAACACTATCTCTTCTTTGTTATCCTTACATTCGAATCTTTCCCTGAACCATTCTTACATGTTTATTTCTTCTCCAATTATTTTATTGCTTTTCCACTTTCCTTCCTTAATTAACCCATGCATCATTGTATGATTTAATCTCTAAGCCATTCATTATTCTATTTTTCTTTTCATTCTTACAGAACTTGTTGAACTTGAACTGTTGAACAGTTCAACTGTTGAACAGTTCAACTGTTGAACAGTAGAACAGAACTTGAACAAATTTGAACAGTTTCATTGCATTTTTTCACTTCAAAGTAGTAACGTAAAAAAGATGCTCCATTGAAAATGAACAATATGAAATTAGCTGATGTTCAGGTAACAAAATGTCTTGGTCTCTCAATTCAGTCAAACCTCACATGGGATGTACATATAACAAAATTTAACACTAAATTAAGTTCATTATGTAATGCATTCAGAATTCTTTCAAATTATGTCAGCCTTCATGCAGCTCGTTGCGTGTATTTTGCAAATCTACATTCCCACCTGAGATATGGCATAATATTCTGGGTAAACTCATCATGTAGTTCTCAGATCTTAAGATTGCAAAAGGAAATTATTTGAATAATGAAAAAATGCCATCCGCGTGATCCCTGCAAACCTCTCTTCATTGCGCTTGGAAGCTTACCACTGCCTTGCCTATTTATTTACGAATCTGTAATATTTGTTAAAAGTGACTTACTTAACGGTGGGAACATATTTTCATGCAATACTGATATTTATAATTACAACGTATCGTAATAATCACGTTCATCAAGTGTCAGTAGCAACAGCTCATTATCAGAAATCCACATACACTACATGTACGTTACTTTGCAACTCATCGGCAGATAGCATTAAACAATAGAAGTCCGTTCACAAATTTATGTTAGAAGTAAACTATTTTCTGCTGCATAAGTGTTTCTATAAAATTAGAGTCTATAATGCTTATCAAAAAAGAAAAATAATGTTTATTTTAACAAAACAGTGATATATAATGAATTAGTTTACATTTGTTTTGTATAATGTTTTAAAATACTTAATGTGCTTGTAACAAATAATGTACTTCAGCTTCCGTGTCAATGACCCCCATCTTGATCAGGTTTTTGTCCTGTTTTCGTGATCCATTGAGCAAATGCTGAGATGACCCCTTTTTTTGCTTATGGACGAAAATGTAGCTTCACTATGCGCACGTTTTGTTGAACTCTCCTTTAGCTTGTAGTAGTAGGAGTAGAGGTAAGGGAGACTTACTGTTTTGTTAGCAATGCAGCATGATTCTGCAATTCATTTACCGTTGGAAAAACGTTTACTATAACTCGTTTACTATAATACACAAATGTACAGTTTTTCATTTGTGGCTTATCTCGTGCTTTTTTTAATTTTATTTTTGTTTATTCATTTACTTTAAACTTTTATTCGTTTTTCTGTTTTAATCGTCTACTGTTTAAGTATAGTTAAAACTATGGGACGGGATTCTGTAACTCGAGAGAACGTCCGCAGATGATCTTCTCCCCCATACGTCACGTACAGTTTTTACTGTTTTTTTGAGTAAATAAATCTAAAACCTAAATCTAAACTCTTTAAAATAAGAGCAAGACAGGGTGGAGGAGGTCAACATAAAAATGTTAGCTTCGGAATTATTGGGGATATGAAGGTAAAACAAAACTCAGTTGGGTAGTATCTATAAATTGTTTAATTGATTAATTATTTCCTATTTTCGAGCTCTTAACTATTCAGGTCATTTGGAGCTGGCGATTATCTACTCCCGCTGGATGGTGAGGTCTGGCGCCTACATACAAGTCGGATAGCGGGATTTTGCCCAACCTGTTATCTCTCACCGGCAAGGTACCGTCCCAGACGGGCCAAGCTGATGCCACCGCAGTGCCCCCGACCGGGAGGTCTTAGAGACCGAGTCCAGACAGTGGCAAGATGTTCGACGCTTGCTTGTCAGTTAGGTCGAATTCAGTCGCTGTCTGGAGGAGTCTTCTAGCGGCTGGCTGCTCTGATCGGGAGTGTTCCGTGGTTTCTACGCTCAATATCAGGCGAATGCCGAAGCAGTAACCTAACAAACAGATCACGGATCGCGCGAGATCTTTCCTTTCCTTATCTTGTCCAACTCCTTACTTGCACACACGTACACTTATATGCACTACACTACCACACATGTCGGGAGCCTAGAGCTTGTCCCGGCTGCGGCGGTGACCCACTGGTGGGAGATAACTGGTTAGAGGAAACCCCGCCAGCCGACGGTAGGTTGCCGCCGGATCTCGCCATCCACTGGGGAATGAACATCTCCTCCTCCAGAGGAAAACAAAATGCACTACACTTACAGGACTAATGACGTCAGTAGTTGACACATCCATAATCACAAACAACCGACCAATCGAAAAGTATACAAAAATTGGTATTTCAAAATGTATGTACATTTACATTTGAAAATATTGCAAAGCTGATCTGTTTATCTCAGGAAAAGTGCCAACTAGACGTGCCTTTCCAATAGATGTCCTTAGAAGCTCCATTTTCTAAAAAAAACATCTGTATACTGCAAAATCTTTAACGGTAGATAAATAGCAAAGTAAACTAAAGTTATGTGTTTCACTTGATTTGTTGTGGGGTCATTTTTATGATTCATTCGCCTGTATCTAGAGAAAAATTTCTGAATCACATTAGAGTGATCCTAACATTCCGCCCTCAGAACTTGAAATTAGCAAAGTAAGGCGTACTTAAATAAACAACTTCTTAAGTGACCAGTGCTTTAGTTCATTGCCCAATATAAAAGTAGTGTGTGACGTAAAATATTTGTAAGCTTGCACTGATTAGAAAGCGCGCAGAAAAAGTGAAATATCAATCATTAATCGAAATTAAAAACAAATGTATTCCGCCGTGCTAAGATGAGTTTTTAAAAGTATTACCAAGAATACGTGCGATAAACTAGAAAACTTATTTTTCATGTTTTTATATTCACGAAACATTTTTAAATGTAAAGGTATTGTTAGGATTAATACAAATAGAAATTCGAGTAATTTTTCTTGCTTTATGTAATTTAATTTTAGTCTTTGGTAGTAATAATAATGTATTTTCTTATTTTTTTCTCTTATAAGTATTATCGTATTTTAAAAAAATTCTGTTATTTGCTTCAGGTATCGAATTAATGACTTCTGTGTAGGAGAACACACTGGCACTCACTTGGATGCTCCCTTTCATTTCAACAAAGACGGATGGACTGTCGAAGAGATACCACTAGAAAGACTTATTTCTAACGGTAAAAAATAGCTACTGTGTATCCCTTTAATGCCTAACACTAATATAATTACTTTCGAAAATTAAAGATTGAATATTAGCTAAGCCATTCAGTTGTCTTCACGATCAGGGGATGCTTTGTCGTAGACAGTGTTGCCAACATTTCGGCTGGGAAAGTGTGTTCTTCTGTTCGGGGAAACAGTAATGGTCCAGCTACTGCATACATACTGTACTGTAAATACATGTACTGTGGTCCATGAAGGTTAAGTTCAAGAAAATCGCTTTGTGACTATCAAAATGATGCCGCAACGCCACCTACGACGAAGAGACCTATTTGTCAATTACTTGACCATTTCAGTAAATAACATTTTATTAAAACTGCTTTTTCTTCGCTACAAATTTGAGACGTTTTCTGGAATTCCTTTAATTTACTAATGAATTGCTAATAACTGGTCCTTATTTCAAATTCTTTATTCAAAAACTAGACTCAACTATAGTAACTAGTATTAAATTTCCAAAGTTCAATTGTGCTCGCTCCTCGATTACTATTTAATCAATATCTTATTTATAAATTATCCTTTCCTGACAGGGATATTTATGAACTTTTCCCAAGAGACAGCTAACAACGTTTCCTTCAGACTGGAACCTGACCACATCGACCAGTGGATAAAGCAACACGGTCGACTCCCCCACAACGCCATGGTGCTCATTAGCTATGGTTGGTCGCAGTTGTATTCGAATCGCACAGCTTTTACTGGCACAACTACAGATAAATTCACCGACATGGTTTATCCAGGTAAATAATCACTATTTATTTAATGAGACATGCATAATAACTATTTCTGGATAATTAGATCATAATGACATCTAAAAATCAAAAATGGAAATTATTTCAGTAATATAAATTAATTAGTTGTCATCATTTACCATTTGTGTATACTAATTCTAAAAGAGTAGATGTACTGTTCTATACTTCAGCTTCTGAATCAATTATCCTCCATATCGTTCAATTTTTGTGATCAGTCTTCGTTGATTCGCTAACAAAATGCTGAAATAGCCCCGTCCTTTGCTCCTAGACTTAAATAAAAGTAGCTTCAATAGGCTCACGGCAAGTTGATCTTTTTTTTTCCTTATTGCGGAAAGAGTAGGGAGCTGTTAGTTCGTCTCCAATACTAAATTTAGTTCGTTTGCCGAAGGAAATACAATTCCTCGTATTTGGGAGCGGACATTTATAGATTTCAAAAGTTGTGAATCACGTTTTTTCGTACCTTTATTACTATTTCTACTATGTATGGTACATAAGTAAGTAAAGTAGGGATTCTTGAGCTCAATAAAATGTTTCTGAAGAAACGTAGATCATACTTGTCCCTTATTACGTCATACATATTTAGTGTTTTACGAAAAACCCAATCGCGATTTATTCGAACTGCCTTAGTAACTGTGAACTTTGAGTGTTAGTAACACAAACAAATCATTTCATATTTTTAGAAATTTTTTAACGTTAAAACACAAAAACTGATAGGAAAAGTCAAATAATCGTATATATTTTAGAAAATAATAAAAATAATATAAAAGTAATTCAGTAATATAGAAACAACGTTTCTGCACTCGAATTCCGTTTATTGATTCTTCCCAAAAAGATAATCCATAACTAAAGACGAATACTTTCAAATTATAGGTACACAATGTCCATTCGGATATGGAGATTATTTCATTGAACGAGGAATTTAGAAACGATTATGTTCCTGTGATGATGAAGTGTACGACGAAGAAATATAGAGAGAACGGTAGAAAGTGGATTGATGTATTGAAAATTCATCGCAAAAAAAATTGAAAAACTCACATTTGCAATGTGGTCTGCGTACAGAATACTGCAACGAAATATCAAACAAGGGCACACACATTAACTCTTATCTTGTGACATTTGTTTACTCAGAAACACTTGAATTGCCCTCTGTTAAGCTTTTTCCAAATAACTGCTCTGTTTTAATAATATTTTTCCAAATACATACGAAAAATCATATATAACAATATACCAATGCTTTGTATTTCTTTGGTGTCACTCAAAAGCGAAACATTCTGATTTGGGGTAAACTCAAATAACAAAACTCAGAGAGCGAGTACATTCTTTGTTTCCTTTACTGGAAGAATGTGTACAAATTGATTGAGTAGAATTAAGGGAACTTTTCGTCACAAAAACCTTCGTTATAGAAAGTTTACATTGTACTGTAGTAATTTTGTTATATTCTGTTCATGCGTATTCGGTAAAACTTTTGATGATCATGGTGTTCCATAATCGGATGAGCACGTAGTTAGTACTTCAAGATTCAGTTTCTTTTCATACATTATATTGCATTGAGGATACCGTAGAACTGTATACATCAATAATTGCATTTTCTTCTATACCGACAGCAGACTTGAATGTTAATCAACACTAAAATACTTTGCGCAGGTATGTCTCCCGATACTGCCACTAAGCTTGCCTCGATGCCCGAAGTGGTCGGTGTCGGAGTCGATACGCTTTCAATTGATGCTTCGGGGTCTGGAAAAGCCCATCAAATACTAACGGCCAAAAACATATATCTGCTGGAAGATGTTAACATGGACAAACCTTGCATCCCAGGTAGGAGCTGTCTGATGAAAACAATCCATATTTTCTTGGAACAAATTCAGGAATTAATTTTTTATTATAAAATTAAAATATGCCGCTATTAAATGTGGATTTTTTAAAATATATGCTTACAATTTTCTAATAAAGTAATAATAAGGAAACAATTCACTGTAAAATGTATTCAATGTAAATAAAAAATATATATATAAATTTGTTGGTGACGGTTCCTCTCTTGTGACACACAAGACGCACCAAGTTTTGGAATGTGAAATGTTCAACCATAATATGTTAGGCAATTTTGTTAATGGCAGGAATTACGGTCTCTTTGCAAAGAAGAGCAGTTATATACATATGAACGATAATATTCATATGGATAACATTGATATATCAGAAGATGACCAGTATAGACCAGTTTAACAATGTAAAACAATACATATTATAATTAATTTTGGCAAAAAATTTCAAAAAGAATAAAAAAGAATAATTTTTACTACTTTTTCACAATTCCATAAAATTTAACATTTTTTAAATAAATGATTTATTTACATTGAATTATTTTACTGAAATTATTATCTCATTAAACATACTATTAAATAAAGGCTAGTTTTACCCTCGTACAATATCTGCAATTTGCAATCAAGTAATATATCTGGGATCTTTTTGGACACCAAGGTTCACTGTCAATTGTAAATGGTTAACGCGAATGTGTACGGTAATGTACTGAGTGTAAATATTTGTTTTTATAAAAATATACACTTGAAAGTGATTTTCAGTAACATAATAAATATAATTTAATCGTTTTAAATATTTCATATAGAGTAACGTCTCCCGTGCATAACCCGAATTGTTGATACATGCTCCATAAATATTTATAAGAATTTGTAAAATAAATTTCGAGATCAAATATTGTCAATATCAGACACAGTGTTTGAAGTTCATGACAAGATATTTCAAGTGCGAATGTGGAAAATAACACGCATTACCTTAGATCAAACCAGACTCATCTAACAAAAAAAATTAATAACTGTCTAGTAAAATTTGGAAAATATGTGAAAAAGGCTTGGTACCTGCTAATAAGTGCACGAAGGGATATCTAAATGACTGCAATTATCCTGCACATATTCAGAAAAATTTAATACATTAATGATGATGGGTTCCAAAAAACAGATATGGTACGAGGGTTCAATATATATTATTTTAGGAACCTTTCCAGTAAAGAATAGTATTTTTTATTAAAATGTATGTATAAAATAAATGTATACAAAGTATTGTATTTTTTTGTCAATTTATTTTGTAAGGTTTTAGTTTTGTTTTCTTTTTAAACGTTAAACATTAAAATTTAATTGATATGACTAAAAAAGCGTAACATCCGAAGATTATGATATAAAATATTTTGTATTTCAGACCGAGGATTCAAAGTATTTTCAATGCCCATAAAACTGGTAAATGGAACCGGCACCCCAGCCCGAGTTATTATCGTTCCAGAGGGTGGAATATTGAAATAAAGAATATTTAAATCTACCAAAATACGATTTTGAAGTTTCTAAGCCGACGTAGATAATTCCCTAAACTAAAAGTAAAGCTGGTAATTAAAAGAATTTGTCCTGGTTATGCAGTAGTAGAGGATGATACAGAAGTATGTAAAACATATAAAGAAATTGGAATATCTGTAAACATTATTGTGAAACGAGAACGAATAAACCCAGTGAAAATAAATATAATTACTAGTGGTGTTCTATAATGGCACATACCTTCTCATACTAAATAATATCCTATTTTTATCGATAAAAAAGTAAGTAACTACAAAGACCTCTTCTATTTCTCAGTCCTCCAGCTCCCTTGGCAGAAGGCAGAGAGCACCTTTGCACATCCCGATCATCGCGTAGACCATTCATTTATTGACAAGATGTTCAGTTTATTGACGTATTTACTAAACTGTATCACCGTCAAATTCAGATCAACCCAGTTTTGAAATATAATAATTTTATAAAAACAATAATATAACTAAAACACACCTTTGTATGCATACGCAGCTTTTAATGTGCTTTGTAATGTTGAATCTCTGTATTTGAAATACTCTCAAATCTTTCGTTTCCAAAGCAACAAGAAAAAAATAGTGACATATTAAAAATAGTTATTTATAGTTAAGTGTGTGAAGTTATTGTTTTTTGTTCAATTCATAACAAGGAAGTTAACAGTGAGTTAATTAGCAATACATTTGAATTAATAAAATTAGGTAAAAAAATAAAATTATGTATGTACTTCGGGCGTTAACTGGTCTTAACACTATCGGGCCACTAAAGCCCTTGACCAAAAGTACCTGAACGTTTTGTCAACACTTCGTTCATTAGAACCCTAATTACGCTCTTGGTGAATAAATAACTATTTTTCTACGACCCTATAAAAACGCTTCTATTACAACCCATTTGATTCATCTTCACTCGTCATGGTTTATTCAAAAGGAACCCCTCCAACTTCGTGAACGTTTGTAGCCATGGTATCGCATCATAAGGTAGTTGTAGGTTGGAATTGTTTCATACGAGTTTCTATTGTGTAACTGGTACATCATCGTTACAATTACTAAATTTAAAATGGTTAAAAGCAATTCTGACATTCCAAAAGAGTTGTTCAAATCTGAGACTGCTACAGTATGTAATTTATTATTCAAAATACCTAAGTTATTTATGAAAAAAACTACCATCAGATAAGAAATTGGTGTACATCTAAGAGAGTTACTGTGAGTTTTTCATAACATGTTAATAGTTTCCTACAAATTACGGGTTTTATTATAAGTTAATAGATATTGGGAAGACTTTAATGTTAGTGAAATTCAAGTTGTTTTATCACTTAGTTGAGTTCACATAACAATAACGAATTATGAAGTTCGTCTGAAGAAGTGAATGAGCAACCAGCACAACAAATTTGCGCGCCAAACGTTACAAGCAGTTCCGCGGATCAACGTCTTCTGAACAGCCTCGTACTCTGCATTCTACATTCTACAGTCATATCACACATACAGGTATGTTAAACTTCATAAGGTTGGTTAATGTTGGCAATTGGTTAAGACCCTTTCCTTTCCAGCTGTTTTGAAAGAGGTGTTGTTAGGGCACCAGATACGCGAACTGCTGTGTGTACCTGTTGTATCCAAACGATTGGCGGCATATATGACAATAAAATGTGTCATTTTATATGTTATTTTCTTTATTTGAAGGAAAAATTTTTAAAAAATGGTGCGTTTTTTTTAAAACAAATAAACTACCTTTATTTCAAGCAAAAATACGAGAAAATTACTAGTATCTTAAAAAAAGGAAATGATTGTATGTGAAAGACTCATTTTTAAGAACCGATTGCAATAAGAAAACGAGATGGCTGACAATATTCTTCTTTCGGGGCAATTCCTGTGTATGCTATCCTGACACGATACAATAAATAGCTTTTGAAGATAGGAATGCTACATTAAAAAACGCACATCTTGCTTACTGTTAAAACTAATGTATGTTAATGGAAGTGTAGCCGTTATCTTATATTTAATAGAAGGAAAATATTTTTCTTTCTTAACCAGTAAGAAAGCAGATTGATATTTTTTTATATTTTCAAATAAAAAATTAAAAATCTGCTTCGATATTTACTTCATACAATTCAATCCAATTCCTGTTATGTTTTTCGAAACAATTTATTACATTATTGAGTTTTACTGGTGTAATAGTTTTAGTTCAGGAAGTCTTATATTTCATGAGGTATTGCATCCACGTTTTAAAATAGGGAAAATAACTTCACTAATCATAAACTTTTAACTACGAACAATTTAAAATTAGAAATGCAAAATATAAATTCATAATTCATTGTGATCCGCTTTTGATGTTCATTTACATTTCTCAACTACTTAAGCCTTAGCGGTTTTTAAAAAAATACTGATTTAAATAAGGACGTAGATTTTCTTTGCACTGCATTACTTTTACTTTCCCGTATACGTACTATATACGGAGTAATATACGTAGTACAGGGAAAGTTATGCAACGCTGCGAAAAATCGATTTCGAGATTTCAACGGAAATACACGTTTTGCGCTACCCAGATACCGATAATGTGTTTTTTTAAACGTCCGTCTCTCCGTCCATATGTCCATCCGTCTGTCTGTCTGTCCGTCTTCACTCCCAAATTAACATGAAGGTTTCGAATTAAAAAAATATAAAATAAGAAAGTAGTGTATACTGTAAAAACATTTAGTAATTTTCTTAATTTTCTAAAATTCTTAAATTTAGACGAAAAATATTCAAACGAAAATGAACAAAAATTCATTTTTCTTATGTCAAAGCTCAAAACACCGTTGATTTGATTTTTTATACTGTTATGGAGTTCTGTGCCAGAGGAAAACAATGAATCCTATGTGCACCCTTATTCTTCAGTAAAGCAACGTATGAATGAATGTATTTTGAAAAAGGCTGCTACTGTTCTGTATATTTATTTTAGTGCTTATTGTATATTTTTTCATATTTTTTGTCACGTTGAGATAAGTATTAGAACAATCCATAAACCCTGGAGAGATAACAGATGAAGAGCACAACAAAGTTGCAAGGTTGGCTGTAGGCTTACCTGTTCCCACATACAATTCCAGTTGCTCAGGAAACTAAAAAATAGATAAAATATTGGAGGATCACCTAAGGTAAACCTTCAAAACATTAAGAATTAATCTGACTAGGATAACTGAAATGATCAGATGAAATTAGAGAGTATGTGACGTAACAAATTAGATTTAATAATTGTTCGACAACGTAGAAAGATTCACAGTACATGCCATTAAACAATTGGACATGAAATAATTGAAGCCTCATTAGTTCACAGCCCCTAACATTTTTGCTGACAGTCGGGGTTAAAATGATACAGCAAAGAATTGACGCTAACGTAAAACGCTTAAAGAGTTCTAACTGATATCCATAGTAACAAAAAATAGCGAATAATAGGAAGTATATTCTACTATCAGCATCAGCATCTACCTGCAAACATTCTCCTGCTGTCTCTGCTCACTCTCTCTTTAACATCTTTCTATTTCCCTCTCTCTTACCCCGCCTCTCTCTTTTCCCTCACTCTTTTTTCTTTCATTTCTCTTTCTTTTCCCTCTCACTTTTTCCTTCTGTTTTACCTCTCTCCCTCTTCGCCACTCTCTCATTTCTCCCTTCTCTCTCTCTTCCCTGCTTTCCCTTTTCCCTCTACTCTACCACTTTTCGTTTTTCTTCCCCTCCTTCATTTCCCATCTCTCTTTTTCGCTTCTCTATCTTTTCCCATTCATTCTCTTCCATTCTCTCTTTCCTCCTCTTTTCCCTACCATTTCTCTTCTTCAACTCTTTCCCTTTCCCCCTCTCTCCCTTTAACCTCAGTTCTCTTTTTATCTTTCCCATTTCCCTCTTTTTCTTCTCCCTCTCTCTTCGTCCCCTTTCCCCCTTTAACCCTATATCTCTTTTCACCTTCCCCTTTTTCCTCTTTTCCCTCCTTTCCTCCTTCTCTCCCTCTTTTCCCTCCTTTCCTCCTTCTCTCCCTCTTTTCTCATCTTTTTCAATCTCTTTTTTCTCTTTAATCACTCCCTCTTTTCACTAACTTCCTTTTCCTGCTCTTTTCCCTCTCATCTTCCCTTTCCTTTCCCCTCTCTTTTCAGCTTATTTTCCCCCCCTACTCTCTCTCTCTCTTTTGCCTCTCTTCTTTCCCTCTCACGCACCCCTCTCTTTATTTCTTTCCCCCCTCTCTTTCTCCCTTCTCTCATTTCCCCCTTCTCTCTTTTCTCTTCTCTCTCTCTTCCCTTCTTTCTTTACCCTTCTCTTTTATTCGTCTCTCTCTTTTTCTCGTCTGTTATACAAATTATCCAAAATAATATTTTAAGAAAATCGTCACAGCTCAAAATGATTTCCATTGAAGTAATGAGTTGAACGACTCCTCAATTAAAACTTTCTCAAATCCCCCTCATCGTTGGTGATTTTGGAAAAACTTATTTAGATCACCATTACAGTATTCAACACTTTATAAATCGTTAATTCTGTAATTACTATTGTTGTAATAATAATAGTACAAAAAAGTATACAATATATGAGCGTTAAGACGGTCAATCCGAGGAGTTAAATATTATTAAAGTATATAACACCCTCACAGAGCAAAATTGTCAATCAAATAGAAAATAAAATGTAAAAAAGTTGTTGGGTCGCAGATTACTGTCAGCGAAGTACAAACTGAAGGTTAACACCTGCCCTTTTAAAGCTGCTTTAAGAAATTACTATACGATTGCTTTAACTGCTGCATCAGAGAACAAGAATGATAATAAATTTTCCTTTTTTCTTCATTTCGAAGAATGAGCAAACCTTGCTCTTCATTAAAGTCGTCAGATACATTATCATTCATTCGAAAAAACGCATTATAAAACAAGGAAGTCCTTTCTTTGTTCACATAATTACGCCCTTCGATAGAGCATAAGAAGCGGTGCATTCCAGTGAAGCTAAGGTCACATTTTTCTTGAGCGTCAATCACGATGTTAGTTTTGCTTTCGATTCTTGCAGTTCCATCTGTGTGGGCGTTCGCTGTTCCTGAGAGAAACTGTTTGCTACGAAACCCTGTCGATTTGACGCGAGTGTTAGATACGGAGTCTGTCGCTGTCACCAAGCCGTTTGTTCCTGGGAACTTCTCGGAGATGACCTTTCCTGGGAATATCACGTAAGATTTGAACA